AATCTGATTTATTTAATTAATTTGCTAATTTGTTTAGAAAAAAATAAAATAATTTAATTAATTCAATATAAAAAATAAAAAAATTATTTAGTTTCGGTTCTTATTCGATTCTTCGGTTCTTGGTCTAGACCCGAGATCCGACCCAAACCTATCGGTTCTCGATTCGAGTACCCGTTCGGCTATTTAATTTATGAAGAACCGCTCAATTCGGTTCGATTCGAGACTTTTGGACACCCCTACAAATTCCTGCGCAAGAATCTTTTTTAACCTCTCTAGCTCATCGCTATCATCACCTGCGAGAATTATATCATCCACATATACAATAAGGATATCCATTTTATCTCCACTAGCGTGTCTATAGAACATAGTATGATCGGTTTGACCTTGGCAGTAGCCGTGACTCTTTATTACCTTCTCAAAGCATTCAAACCAAGCTCTAGGAGATTGTTTGAGTCCAAACAACGATTTATTCAATCTGCACACCTTGCCTTTGGCACCTTCCCTTCAAATCTTGGTGGTAGATCCATAAAGACTTCATCCTCTACGTCTTCATTTAAGAAGGCATTCTTCACATCTAGTTGGTATAAGGAGTTAGAGTGAGATGCTAGAGAAAGTAACACACGGATTGAGTTCATCTTGGCTACAGGAGCAAATATTTCCTTGTAGTCAATTCCATATGTTTGAGTGAACCCCTTCACCACAAGTCTTGTTTTGTACCTTTCTATACTTGGATCAGCCTTAAACTTTACTGTAAATACCTATTTACAGCCAACAGTCTTCTTCCCCTTCGATAGGTCACCAATTTCCCAAGTGTCGTCAGCAATTGGTGCATCCATCTCTTCTTGAACAACCAATCTCCATTTCGGGTGATCCAGTGCTTCCTGAATAGTTCTTGGAATAAACAGATGAGAAACATTTGAAGTAAAGGCTTTATGAGTATCGAAGAGTATGATATGATAGATGGTTGGAAATAGGATGTATGGTACATGTTCTAACTCCTTTCCTAAGGGCAATAGGCAGGTTAAGATTAGACGAATTATCAAAAGATAGACCTAGAGAAGTACCTAGAGTATGTTGAGGAGGACCAGCTTGTGTAGGTGATGATGATTGGCTTGCTCTAGATTTGAAGAAGGAGCTCTATTGTTCTAATGATCTCTTCTTCTGGTATAAATACGGAGCTCAGATGAGGGAATATTTGATAGTACTCTCCCTGTTTGTGAATCAGGAATGCCTTGTATAGGTAGACTAGGATTGTCATTATTTTCACCTGTTAAGGTATTGTTTTCCAGACCCTTTAAAGAATCGATGTCAATGTCAAGGAAAATATTGGGAAGAGGCTTACAGTTTTCCAGAACTCATCTTCATTTTCCAGTTTCTCCCCCTGAATATAGTTATGGCCTAAAAAGGGCTGATTTTCAATAAAACATCCATACTGTTAATAGGGCCACTTACAGACTACCAAAGAGTTTAATATACATCAAAATGCCTAATTTTAGATTATTTTAAAATACCTTGTCAGAAACTAAAATCCTTAATTTTGAAGTCTACTGAATAGCCTGTTATTTGCAATTCTCATTTCAAATCTTCCCATGTTTGTCACTATATTTCTACCTAAACTTAATGTTCAAGATGTCTAATTATCAGTTGAATATTTATTTTTGGCAGGTCAAAGCTACAGCAGAAAATGTTGATGAGGCTGTTCGAGAACTTCCTGATGCCAACCTGGTAAGGTATTCCTCTCTCTATCTATAATTCAAATAATTAATGTGATTTTTCACTAAAATCAAATTAATCGAATCCTTGTGAAGTGCATAGAAGAAAAAGCTAGGCTTAGATTACAGTAGAAGTGTGAGTGCTTATTTGAGTAGTCACTAAAGCAACTTTATGCTGTGCCACTTTCAGACACCAGAAGACTTGTGGGCTTTGCACTCTCAACCTGTATTCCCAAGGCCTCACAAACGAGATAGTACTTCTTGGGCAGCAATAAGAAAGGTATAATCTTGAGAAGTTTGCATATTGTTAATATTTTAATCACATTTTACATGATGTAATTATTATATATCTAAATTAATCATGCTACATTATTTGATCTACTTGGAGAAATGTTGTGTTTCATCAATTTTGGCACCAAGGGTAATTGAGAATCTTATGTCAGAGTTGCAACGTGCAAATATTTAAAATTTCAGTTTCTTTTTAGACATTTGAAGATTGAAGTTCATGGTGATTTCTGCTAAAATCACGACACTTCTTCTAGCATAGAAATTGAATGTTGCATTTTTGTCTTACTGAGAAGTTGCATATATTAGGAGCAGAGAATCAGAAAACTGATCCTTTACAAATTTAATATGTCCTCTACTTTCTTTCGAAGCCTTTGTGGTTTTTTTACTTCATGTTTTTATTCTTATTTATAGTGAAGCATAACTATTGCAACTTTTGGTTTTGTTTGGAACGTGAGACGTGGTTATACAGGAAAACCCTATCACCTGCGTAAGGACGTAAACGTCCTTTACTTAAAGTGCAAGAAATAAAATAAAATAAGAAAAAAGTAACAGAATTTAATAAAATCAGCTTCGTACTGTATTTCTTACTCCATCATTCTCTTCGGGTGTGAAAAGATTTGGCCAATTTAGTACGGGTCCAAAGCAGCTTCTGATGTGTCCTGCATAGAAGCATACTAGTCAATATTAAGTATTGATTGTGTATCTTTTGATGATGTGTACTAAATAAAAATATAGTTACATTTGTTATGTCCTGCTTCTGTCCCATGAATCTTCCATTTGTTTGGCAGCCATTCTGTTTTTCCAATGTCCAGGAATTGCAAAAACTCACAGTTGCTTTATGTCGTGAAAAAGTTCATTATGTTTTATTTTAAATATTTTTGATGCAGAAGCAGTAGTCTGGAAAATCTTCAATTACTTGTTTTAAGTACTCAAAAGTTACCGGACAATATGTTTTTAAACTTAACTTTATAGTTTGGCATCTTCATGCAATCAAGAGTTCTGTTTCATCCCATGATTTTGGAAAGCACTACATATTTGAATATGCAGTTTAAACAACTACACAGAGCATATTCATATTTCATATTATTGCATGCGCCCACTAATTCATTTGAAGATTGTAATTTGAAGGACAACATGGAGAATAACTTCTAATAGAGCAAGATATTTGTTCATCATACATTTTGTTTCATTTTATCATGCATCTCACAGCATTGTTCTTTACAAAAACCTTTTTTTTATCCAATGCAGATCACTG